AGTAAGATGGCCATCGCGAGTAAGGTGCGAAATGAATATCAAAAAATGGATAGAAGAACTGAGGAAAGCGGGCATACTCGATGAATTCTGGCACGTGATCAAAGGTTTTGAGAATGGCTTTGATCAAGGGATCCCAGAAGTGCCAATCAACGGAATGAAGTTCTATTGTCCACCTAACCATTCCTCAGCCGCCGAAGCAAGGGAGGAAATAGAAACAAGCTTGAGAGAGGAAATAAAAGCGGGGAGGATGTATGGACCCTTTACAAAAGAGGAAGCTTACGAGAAGCTAGGTTTCTTTCGTTCCAGCCCACTCGGCGCCGTCACAAACGGAGATGGCTCCCTTAGGCCGATTAACGATCTCTCGTTTCCAAGAAGAGACTCATATATAACGTCAGTAAACGCAAAAGTGGATAAAGACGATTTTATTACCTCATGGGACGACTTTGAAAGGGTAGCCGCGTTCTTCTTATCAACCAAAGGTGAACTATTGCTCGGGATCTTTGACTGGGCCAAAGCCTACAGACAAATCCCAACATTGCTGTCACAATGGCCCTTCTTGATGATTCTCGACTTCAACGGCGATGTGATATTGGACACAAGAGTAACTTTCGGAGGTGTTGCTGGATGCGGTACGTTCGGTATGGCCGCGGACGCTTGGAAACGAGTGGTGCTAGCAAAGTTTGGATTTACGGCCGGGTTCCGGTGGGTCGATGACACTTTATTCATAAAACCGAACGACGGTAGCAATAGCGCGACCATGAAAGACATCGCTGCCCTCAGTGAATTGATGGGAGTAGTAACCAACACAAAGAAGTGGCGCGAATTCGATTCGACACAAAAACATCTTGGGTTCCTGTGGGACGGTAAAAACAAGACAGTCAGTATACCAAAAGACAAGCGAGAGGAACGACTCAGACAAATAGACAACTTCTACCAGGCGAAAGCAGTGAGGTTCAAGGAAGTAGAGAAACTGGCTGGGAGGTTGGCGCACATGATGCTAGTATACCCACAACTAAAGTGTTACTGCATGGCGATATACAGATGGATGGCAGAGTGGGTACACAGATCAGCCCTACGCGACATTCCAGACGAAGTGAGGGAGGATCTGAAGGTCTGGAGACTTACACTGATAGAGGCCGATCCGAGACGGTTGATACCACATAAAGGAGTAAGGAACGTCGCGTGGGTGGGCGACGCTTCGACATCTTATGGAATTGGAATCATAATTGGCAAGAGGTGGGCCAGATTCAGGCTGAGAAGAGGATGGGATCTCCCAGACGAAAACGGCGACCGCCGAGAGATCGCGTGGGCCGAAACGGTGGCCGCACGCTTAGGTCTGTTGATGCTAACAAAGCTGGTTGACGTACGGGGGTACGAGTTCTTGATGTTGACAGATAACGCGGTGACTGAAGCAGCAGTGAGGAACGGGAAGTCGAGAAACTTGTTAGTGAACAGGGAGTGGATGAAAATCCAGAAAGAGCTCATAACACTAGACTGCAGGATAAAACAAAAACGAGTCATTTCGGAGGATAATGCGGCAGATAAATTGTCAAGAGGAGAAGACTCATCTAAAAAATGGTATGATGAGGTTTCGGTGGAAGTACCCCATGACCTGAGAGCCTTCCTGAAACAGGAGTGAAATGCAATGAAACATCATTTGACCGCACATGAATCGGACTTGCGAAGCGTGAAGACAGAGTGAGATTGACCTGAGACACACGGAGATCAAACCCCGCGCCGGGTACAAAAAGGTTAGATGAGCCCAACGAAGTCGTACAACCCACACGGGTACTAACGAACTCACTCGCAACACTCCAAGATCGCAAGTTACCTCGTAGTAGAACCCAGACGCGCCATAAGATGAAGAGGTTACCAAAACACTTCAAAGCAGCGAAGGAGACGGCAGGACCGGCAGGCAGACACGTCGCCCTGAGCGGATGGGCCGGGACAACCTTAAGCGGCTATTCCAGCGGAATGTCAAAATTCATAGAATTCAAGATCAAAACCACAGGAGAATTCAACGAAAACGACCCAATCAGCAATGAAGAAATTTATGAGTTCATAGCGTGGGCTGGAGAGTCGAAAGTGGGAAAAGCAAACGGACCAAAGAGAGCAATAGCCGCAGTCACGATTAAGAAATATTTAGATGGCATCCGAGCATGGCACATCATAAAACACCTATCAAAACCATCCGCAGATAAGGACGTAGTGTCAGTTTTGTTAAATGCAACAAAGAGGAACGAAGAAGAGAAAGAATTAGTTACCGAGAAACAACCGATAATGATCCGACAATTGTTTGAACTCTTCAAGTACGCTGCATGTAAAACCGACGAGCTAGAATTGGTGGCATCAATAGTGGTGATAGCTTTCTGGGGGATGGCCCGACTAGGAGAGCTATTGAGGCATTCAAAAGAGGATGGCGCGATCTTAAGGAGGCACGTTGAATTTGGAGAAAGAGACGGCAAACGTTTCGCTCGATTGCATCTACGGAAGGCAAAGACAGCTGCCCCGGGAGAAATTCAAATAATACACCTACAACAGCAGAGGAACGTGTTAGATCCGGTGTCAGCTCTAGAAAGGGTGTTGCGACTGAACGAGGTGGGTGATAGGGACGACTTACTGTTCGCCACACGAGGTCCAGAAGGCATATGCCCAATGAAAAAACCGAGATTCATAAAACTAGTGGAAGAGTGCTGGGGAAGATCAGGAGTAGGCAGATGGTCTGGACACTCTTTTCGAGTAGGAGGTGCGTCGATAAGGTACAATCTGGGCACACCAGTGAAGAAAATCGCAAAGCTAGGTAGATGGAAATCTTTAGCTTACTTACAATATTTCAAGGTATACTCGGAGGAGGAGATTGAAGATACAATAAAGTTCTTACAAGCGATAGAAGAGGACTGACGTTTCAATGAATAGAACCTTGCTGCATGCGTAGTTCAGTTGAACAGATTGAACTGAAACCTAACTGAGTGCCACGCGATGATCACCCAAATAGCGGAACTTTAATTATGGCAACAACTGTAAATCAATTAAAGTAGAACTTCTCGGTGTTAAGGGAGAGCTCCTGGAAGGCTAGGCACCGCGAACGTTCGGTGGCCCAGGTGAAGGGATTCAAGGAGCCGATGGAAAAACCCCTCGAACAAAAAAGGGGGGGGCGGGCTGGCAGGTGAGAGCCCAGTCAGAAGAATCTTCCTTGGTTCGAAGGAACCAATTGGTTTCTCAGAACCAAAGGGAGACGGCTGGGCTCCGCCGCTACCGCAAACAACATCTATCTGACATGAGGTAAGAGATGTTTTCCGGGCGTAAAGATTCTCAGAATCAGTTTGAGGAAGTCACCTCAACAAGAATTGAGAGTGTAACTCTCAATGAAACACAGCTCACAATATTGAGCGCAACTCGCAGCTATATGAGGAATGGGTTCCTCAAGTAATGCGAAGTTTGAGCCGTCAGAAGGCTTGAAGACATAGATGATGTCAGGGGCGTCGAGGAGGGCATAGACCCAGGTATTAGGATCGTCGTCTTTGGTAGCCATTGCCACTGGAGACCCTGGTTGATAGTATAAGACTTGTACGCCGATGTGCGATAACTTCTTTCTTGATGTAGCACTCGTAATAAAGGCGTGTTTTCCTGCCACATATTCATAGACAACTATTGTCCGCGCAAGATATAACGTCTGAGTCACATAAAACATCAGCAACAGGCTACTATACTTTCAAAAAAAGATGAAATACTTACGTTGTTCTTGATAAAGATGATGATTTTACCCGGCTCAATTGGGTTTTCAACCCCAATAGAGCCCCCATCAAATAACTGCTGCATATCCACAGCTCGATCTTTGGTGGTGTTTGTGATGATACCCGCCAGATTCATCTTGACGTGCATGTTCCACCGGTGTCGACGTGCAGCACCAGCTGGGGTTCCAGAGAAACTCTTCATGAAGACCGCGATAGCTTTTGAGCATACGCTAGGTTTCATGCTGCCATCATTTATAGTCGATGTCAGCCTGAGTCTTAAAAGGGTGTTCTTTTAAGGATTCAGAGGTGAATAAAACAGACTTACGTAGTTAGTCTGGCAGGCTTTGTTACGATGAGGTTGGTTATCGAGGTAAATTCTAGCCTATGTATAAAACAAGTTAGTCGTTGAAGATAAGTTTTCAAACAAGTTATCTTAACTTGGAGGGAGGTACTCACTAATTGTTCAACAATCAGAGGTCTTCTGCGAAATAGTCTCGTGAACTATTCCTAGGGCTATCTATTTCTACGAGGTCGTTTGATAAGTGAATTATCAAACTAACACGATCTACAAAAATGTTAGATAAGGTGGTAATGGTTTGTCGAGGATGGTCTTAAATTCGTTAAGCGTTGATTTACTACTTTAGGTATTTCGAAAGGTTAAAAAGATCTTTGTTAAACAAACAAAAGAAGCAAATAGGAGAGACAACAATAGTGCTTGTTAAATCTAATCTAAATGTATTGAGCTGGTTTGGTTTTCAAAGTTTTTATAGCTGTGAAATTCTAAATTGTAATGGTGCGGTTAAGATATAAGATGCCTCTTCTCTTCTACGCAAAAGGAGAGGTTTATTTATACTCGTTTGTTGCTTTACACTGTTACTCCGAAATCCTAGTTATTCAGTAGTCGTTATGAAACGGGTTCAGGTGGTTTCAGTCTTGGCTAGTCAGGGTTCGAATGGTCCTGACTGGTGATTTCATTTGTGGCTTCTACCCAGTTGGGTTTTGAGATAAGGGTCTATTACCTAACCTGGGTATTGTTAGGGAATGATACCCTAGATTGGTAATTATCGGTCGATATCGACGGTTTTATCATTCTTCTTTTATGTTTCGTTATGTTTAAGGGTCTTTTGTTGTTTCACTCTTGAAACTTGAGTGGGAGGTGTGATCTCTCGAAGCTCCTTAGGTAGTTTCGAGAAGGAATTTTTTATTGTTCTTTTTTGTATATATTTTTATAGGGTTTTTCTTGTATGGTGAGTGTATCATGTCTTCCTAGGGAGTGTTGATTCTACTCTCTGGGTTGACAGTCGAATTGAGCTCTAGTCGTAGATTATCACCGTTGGTCAGCATTCTATCATTGCCTTTGTTCTTTGCTACTTGACTATTGTGCTGTTTTCGTAATTCGATTATGTTCTTGACATGAAGTCGGTCATTATCAATCAGGCAAAACGTAGCTTCTTTTCCCAATCCAGAAACAAGACCATTTGGATTCTGAGGCTCATCTGTTTTGTAAGAGATGATCAGTCAGTTTATGGACCAAATTTGATGCTAAAACAAAACATACCACTCGAGTTGAGAAGGTTTGAAATGGACATCGCAGAGTTCTGGACCACTTCACCCTCAAACGTCTCGGGTACTTGATCCAGCATGACACTGAGAGCATTCTGCTCTTTTGTCAATGTTGCAGCCGTTTCAAAAGCCACATTTTCAGGAATTCACCATGTTCATAGCTATAGTTGATCTCGTAATCTTTTGCAGCACTAGTCAAAACATCTGAAAAATTGAGACGTTCATCAGCTCTACAATCAAAAGCTATTGATATTAGAATTTTTCAGGGCAACATACCTGGAGAGTGTTCTTGAGCGTTATGTACAGTGGAGCCAAGGATTTCTTCAACTTCGTTGTCTGAATTGTTGAGCTTGATCACAACCATTCCACAGAATTCAGCTAAACTCATAGCTCGTTTCTTAGCGATGGACAGGTCTTCTGATATCTCCTTATTCGAAGGAAAATCACGCAAATGATCGAGGTTATCAGCATTATCTTCATGAAGATCGATCTGGTACCCTGCATGCACATGTTCGGAAGGTGGAATCTTGATCCTCCCACTCATGATGCTCTTGACAACTGCAATGATTTTGGGCATCATGAGACGGGCATCGAGAACACTAAAGTTTGGAGAGATGATTCTCATCCACCCAAATATATGTTCGCATGCTTCGGTTCCATGTTTCCATGGACAGAACGGGAAATCTGGATAGTACTCTCGATGTGAGATTATTAACGCTATCAATGATTCAGCCAGAGTCGAAAAGATCTTGAAGCTTGCGTGAGAGCTTCCGTTGAGGTGAAAGCTCATTAAACCATCGGTATCTGACTGACGCTGTAGAAGGTGTGCTTTCCACATTCGGAGGAAGAAAGCGGCTGTCCATGCAGATCGAATTCGCTCCCGATGATTCATTGTCTTGTTCAACCATGCATCACATAGCTCGCCAATGATGAACAGATAAATGGTTAAGCCAGAACAGTCCGGTCGAGCCAGAGTTGTGGCAACTGTTTGATAGCAGAAGGTCCTCAATGCACGTCCGTCGTCTTGTTTATCGCAGTCAAACACATCTTTCGCAAGGAGCGGGCTATTAGGTGTTTGTAGAACCTGGGAGAGGTCTTGAAGAGAGACAGTGAATTTTCCAATCGTTATCAAGCGGGACCCTGATCATAATTGATTAGCACCAGTCTTCCTAGCGTGCTTAGGGTCCTGTAAAGTAACGATTGGGCAAGGTGGATTTCCAAAAAGAGGGACTTTGATGTTGACTTCAAGATTTTCATTCGAATATGTTAAAAATCGAGTTGACATTTGGTTGAGCTTTGCCTGCGCAGCCAGCTCATTGGCAGCTCCATCCGCACCAATCGACAAGACATCGATCCCAGAAGCCCGACTCATTTGAATGACTGTATTGTGAAGTACTGCAATATCATCTGCTCCTTTGTCAGATTTACTAGCTAACAATGCAACAACTAGTGTTGGAATATTGGGAAGAGGAACCTGGAGGGTATAAGCCCGGATCTAGTGGATAACAGATATGATGAATTAGTGTATGGAATTGAATAAGTATGTGGATAAAGACTTACTTTGGAGCATAAATTATTTTTGCTTTTGATATTCTGAAGTAATTCTTGCAGTTGATCCGGGCTATTAAAGGGTATGTCGCCTCCTTGGGCTCCCACAATGAAACCGCGATGGTGTCGAAGAGTCTGGACACAAACCGTTTGATCTGAGGCAACCGCAACAGGTCCTGAATATCCAAGCTCAGCAAGTATTGCAGCCGCACGATCAAAATTGCCTTGAGCCATTCCATCCTCTATCTCGGTCTTGCTTTTTGCCCGATCCATTCGTTGACACCGTAGTGTTTTACCGACAAAGTTCTTGGTGATGAGTTTAAGAGCACTCTTGCTCATAGCACCCAAAGTCGTGAGGCAATCGTTGAGATGAGCGTCAATCCGCATCCCCCGGAGTGACTTTCCTGCCTCCTCACGCTCAGCGCGTACAGCACATCCCATGATCATACCTTTCATTGCTTCACGGTTCTCAAAAAATCCGTCCTTAGCCAAAATCGAAAGGTGATAGAGAAATTCACCAAAGTCGCCATTGGTTGATGATTCGAGAGACTTTTGAAGAACCCTTAGCTCTGAGTGCTTTCTCAGGAGGCCATTGAACTTATCCATGCACATCAGATAGTTTGGTATGTATTTGATTTTATCGCCGTCGGCATATTCTCGGTTGATAGCTTGTGTCAAGCTGGTAAGAGCTTTTAAAGCTAGGCATTCATCGCAAGGTGTTATAGGGTCATTTTTGTGGCGTTTGTAAGTCTTCTTGCAAGATTTCGAGTGAATAGCATTGCGTTCCGCATTTTGCTTAACCTCCCAGATTGCTCGTGCGTCCATTGTCGAGATAAGTTGAGACTTTTGTGAACTAGTAAGATCGTTCTCTTTGAGATCAGGCCCAAAGAGTTCTTGCCGAATTTGATGTTGGATGATACCGCGAAAGACACTGCAAGTGCTTTCCATCAATTGAGAGATCAAATATGTCGCACGAGGTCTGGTCCAGGTTTCATCGGTCAGACCGGGGCAGACAGTGTCGATTAAGTTCTTGTTGACAGGTTGGAGAGCTGGGTCTTTGGTAAAATACGAGCTCAAGACCGTGTTTGTTCTCAGTGTAGCAGTTGCTTTCTTACACATACCTGGTGGTACAAAAACATCAAGCACGTCAGCCCAGGCTTAACAAATATTCACAAGATGGGCAAAAAGAGTGCTTACCACTTTGCCAGTGCACTTGTGCGCTTTCAATTCTTCCTCGATGAAGAATGACTGGTGCTGAACCGCAGTGGCACTTTAAAACCTTTCCCTTTGCGTGCTTCTCAACTTTACAACGCGTGCAAGGCTGGTTCAGTTTGGAAAGAGAGCATAAAGATGTAGGATCACTTTTTTTCTTTTGTTCTTTTTTTTGTTTATCGGGTTTACTGGTGGTGCTTTTGATAAAGATGACTTCGTTATCATCATCAGTTGCCTCTTCATCAGATGAGATCGTAATTGGATTTGTGTTCGGGGTCAAGGTAGATTTGCTGGCTAGATTATGTTGACGTTTTGCAGGAGGCTTCGGTTCGTGGGCAACTGCGACGTTGAGATCGGATGTTGGGTTGGAAACCATTCGGCGTTTGACTCCGTTCGAGGGTTTTTTTGCGGATTGAGCTGGTTCAGGAAGAGATCCTCCAAGTGCTGATACACGCGAATTGATAATCAACAAACCTGTTTACTTGTATGATTGAGGGAGAACAAAAAAGCTTACCCTTAACTTTATCAACAATTCTCTTGAATTTGAGCTTGATCAACCTGTCTGATGCAGAATCAAACTTTCCCTTTTTATGTAGCCGTTGTTTCTTTTCTTCCGCTGACTCCCACGTCGGGTGCTTACGAGCCTTATTAACAAAACCCACGACCAAAGCAATGCCGTTGGAGCCTTTTAAGATGTTCTTGTGACCATCGTCTCGTCCAAATAAAGCGTCGAGTGATTTATTGACTGATATCCATATTCCTTCCTCCGCATCTTCCTCCGACATACGAGGTGGTTGCGAGAACGTCTTATAAATCTGATCGGCGTATGTAGCTTCGGGTATCATTGGGGATGCTTCAACCAGGCGTAAAGCCTCTTCCATGACGTCTTCAAGCAGCGGCATTTTAATTGAATGGTGAGTTTCAAGCTTGAACGTTGATTGTGATTGATGGTGTGTGCTAATTATGGTGGTAAACTGATATTACGTTGGAGTTTGGGAGAGTTCGGGCGGTGAGAAAGGGTGAGAAGTACTGTTCATCGGATATCTTGTGACATCTCACAAGGGCTTTCACACTTTGCTGCCTCTCTCAGGCAGACCTAACCCTAAAATCTATGTGAAAGAGGCCAAAATTCTGCCGTAAATCCACCCAATTCCGACATCTTTCGACACCTACATTCTGGCAAAAACGGCCAATTCCGACATTTTTCAACACCTACCTAGGTCGAATTTCGGGGTAAATTCCGACATTTTTCGACACCAACCTCCGCAGGAGCTTTCCTGGGTCCTGTGACAGCCGTTCTGAGAACCATTGGTAACTTTTGAGGTGATGGGTGAGAATTTTGTACCATATAAATCAAGTGATCTTAATTGGTGGTACAATATGCTCGTGATAGACTTGATGGGATTGCGTTGCGATTGAAATTTGAAGTCAAACCTGATGATTGATGCGATTGTAATGGAGTTCTATTGAATCCACAAATCAATGAAAGTGCTTGAGTGGGTGCACTCATCTTTGGCTATTGATATGTGAGTCTTGCCTATAAAACATCAAGATATCAACATGTCAGTATCATGAGATCAGAATCACACAGTCAGAAATCAATCGACGTTGGCACAAAGTGTTAACACAGTGGAATCTGTGAAAGGGGCAAGTGACACCTGGCAAAGAGAAACACGCGCAAGCTACTCAAAGAAGAGGTGCAACAAAATGCAACTCGACAGATTTCCCCAATGAGTCTGGACAAAGCAAAGTAATCCAGAAATCTTTCTTTCCCTCCATTTTGTTATCCCCCAGATCTAAAATTCTTTATCATCAGTAAAAATTGTTAGCGAAAAAATCTTATAAAAAATTATTTCACTATTATCTTAGTTATCGTAGTTCTCTTAGTCCTCTCTCAAAAATCTTAAATTAATTAGTACATCTTAGTTATCGTTATAATTTTTTATTTAGTCTAAAAATCATGCAAAATGACCAACCTCTTTCGACCGAAGAAATTAATACCGCTAATAATGCAGCGACTATTTATAAAAAACTCGATCAGATCCTTTTCGACTATGATAAGTCGGGGGGTAGTAGACTCATATCCTTGCGAGTCTTACGAGGCCTTTTCGCAGAAATCGTACCCTTCAAGCAAGATCACATACTGCACTGGATTTATAATTTTTCAGTCTTTGCCAGAGCAGCGGTGGAGCTCGACACCAGAGCCGGCCGACCAATCCACAAGATGGTCGGAGACAACCACATCTGGCCTAATACGGTCCAAGGATTTATGGAAGCGGAGCCAGCCATCCTTAGCTCAGCTGTACCCATTGGCGAACCGATCGAAGGTGCTCTCCATTTCTCTGTGTCAGAAGAAAAGCTCCAGGAGATTGCCAAAGCTTCATCAGCGGCGAGACACGGTGGAGTCCCAGTGTCATCTTCTAGTGAGCACAAGGGGAAAGGACGACGTTCGAGGAGCCCTCGAAAATCAAAAAGTCCACGTAGATCTAAAAGCCCGCGCAGGTCAAAAAGTCCTCGACGCTCAAGTAGGCGGTCGAGTCGCGAAGCACGACAACGATATAGCCGCGATCCGCAGCGACGTTCTAGTCCAGAACCTCATCGTCGGGCTAGTCCAGAACCCAATCGACGTCGCTCAAGAAGTCCTCCTAGAAGGATATTTGCTGCGACACATCAATACGGCTCATCCCCAGTTCCTTACGAAAGCAATCACAGGCGGGGTAGGAGTCCAGCGAGATCCGGAAGACGATCCCCAAGTCCGCGACATAATGACAGACGGGATCCTAGTCCTCGACCCTCGAGCAGCTATCGACGAACTTCTCCCCCTCGCAGAGAGTTTGACTCTCCTCCTCGCAGGGAATTCAATCACACTTCGTCAGGCAGAAGGGCAAGATTTGAAGATTCACCTCAAAGAAACTCAAACCCTTCCCTGCTCGATAGGATCGACTCTTCCATATTCAACAGAGTCAATCACAAACCCCCTCCACCTCGAGGTAGCGGAAAAAGACGTGCTAGATCTCCATCACCAGAGGACAATACTAGTAGCACACTTTTCGAAAAAGCTTTTCAGAAATTCGTTAAATCTTCTACTAAATCAACCAAAAAATTGGCGTTTCAAGAAGCGGAGGACGAGCCGCAAGACAGGATCAAGGATCCAATTGCTAAAGAAATCAAGCGCATCAAATATGAATACAAGGAAGATATCAAGAATTCTATCAACCTATTTGAAGCGTCCTCAGTCAAACCTGATCTCTGGCCTACATCACAAATTAAGGATCTCCTCGAGTACAACTTTGTGGATCTCAAAAAAGTCTATGTCGAAATTTACGGGAAGCCAGGAGCTATCAAAACTATTAAAATCAACGAAGCAAAGGATTTGGAATTTGATGAGAAGATCAAGGGTACTCCCATCCTTGACAAAACTCACTGGCAACATCTCATTGCCCTACTCAGCTCAGCTTTTCAAGCAGCTTTCCCTCCAGCAAAGGAAAATGCAAAGAATTACTTTGAGTACATACTTCACTTGGCTAGCAACCCTTCGACTGGCATCCACTGGATGGATGTTCGAGATTTTGATTCGGCTATGCGCCTTCAATTCTCTCGTCTACCCTGGATTGCCTTTGGCGATTGGAAGAACGACAACCTTGACTATCTCAAAACAAAGGTCCTCTACAGCAAAATCAGTCGTATTGGGGAAGGATCTGAGATTATTAAGTCGTCATCCAGGAGCGAACCCAAAGCTTCAGGTTCAAAATCATCCTCGAAATCATGGTCAAAGCCCAAATCGAGACCAGAGCCGAAACAACCAAAATCTAGACTCAACTTTCCGTACGACGTCAAACCTGCGGGAAATTGGAAGTTTTCTGATCAGCCTTGCAATAATTGGAATTATAACATTTGCCAGAAGCCCGACGGTGACTGCATCAGAAGGCATCACATATGCAACAAAGTGGGATGCGATGCCGATCATCGAGGAATCATCGCGCACGTATAAACCGAATTCTAGGAAATTTTTAAGAGGATTAGAGATTGAAGAAGAAGCCCAACATTTCTCTGCATCAGTCAATTTCTCAGTCGACGCCGAACCTCTCCCTTCAGCTCCCCCAATCTCAGAAGACCCTTTAGCAGCTTACGCAATAAAAAATAGCCCACACTTATTTAAAATAATATGCCCAATCAAAGCATCAAGAATTAGAATGCTCACGTCTTCACACCCCAATCAACCATTTGTCGACTCCATCATCAAGGGGATCACAGAAGGTTTCTGGCCCATGTGTCCCCTCCCGTCAGAAGAGACAGTTCAACATGAAAATCATATCAGAACAGAAGAAGGTCTCGAAATCATTAGGAAAACTAGAGATAAAGAAGTAAAGCTAGGCAGATATTCAGAAGGGTTTCATTCTCCGTTCAGAGGAATGAAAACGGCTCCTTTATGCTTGGCGACAAACAAGAACTCGGGGAAGACGAGGATGTGCACGAACATGAGTTACGGAAACCCATCACCGAATGATCTCATTGATAGAAATCAAATTAGAATAAAATTAGATTCTATTGCATCTTTCATACCTTCTCTTCTCCATCTTCGACAGTCCAAAGACTTGCCATCTGTCAAAAACACAAAATCCTTATGGACACGAAAAAGAAGAGCAAGACAAAAAAGAACAACCATCTGGAAATCGGATGTAGACTCCGCATTTCGAATTCTCGGCATGCATCAGCAGTGGCAACTCCGGCAAGCAATCAGAATCGACGGAATGAACTACATCGACAGATGTGTAAACTTTGGATGTGCAAGCTCGCCAAAGATTTGGTGTAGCTTCTTCTCTCTCATACTGTGGATAGCGTATTTCGAGCTGGGCATCGAAGGTTTAAATTCATATATGGACGATTCATGGGGAGCATGTTACTCAGAAGAGATGGTGTCCTTTAAAGCTCACATAATCCCATTAAATCAAGCAAAATTCCTGTCTCTCTTCGACTTTCTCGGCATTCCATGGGCATGGGAGAAGCAGCTCTGGGGCGAAAAGCTAGAAATCATCGGCCATTTGATTGATTCAGATACGATGGTAATCTCACTAGAGGAAGAGAAGAAAACAGCCCTAGTCTCTCAACTTTGTCTGTTCGCCAATTCAATTTCCCAACCTTTAATAGAATGGCAAAGATTGACGGGATGGGCGAACTGGGCCCTCAACACATTTCCACTCGGTCTTTGGGCTCTGCAATCTTCCTGGGACAAGATAGCCGGGAAAAACCTGCGAAACGCTCATGTGCCACTCAATAAATCTACCAAAGAAGATCTTTCGTGGTTAGCTGACGGGTTAGAAAAATGGAACGGACGCCAAATCATGGAATCATTTCATTGGGAACTCCAAGAGGCCGAGTTGGTATTCTTCTGCGACGCATGCCCTACGGGCATTGGCATTTGGAACCCTCAGACAAACGAAACGTGGGACCTCTACTTCCCACCGCCGGCTCGCGACAACTACTGGGCAGAGTTGATGGCAGTCGTCATGGCGATCGACATAGCAATCACCACAACAGCCAAGAAGATTTTGATTTTCTCCGACAACGAATCAGTGTGCTACCTGTTCGGATCCCACTCACCAACTGACCTGACTCGGGTTCTGTTCAGGCACGCAGTTACCAGAATGTTAGAACACTCACTCAATATCGTAGTAAGGCACGTAGCAGGTGAAAGGAACGTCATAGCCGACGCTTTATCAAGACAGAAAATAATCTCTCACGAGGGAGCGCCGCCATCTCGAGTCCACTTAACCCTCCCATCCATCCCAAAAAGTCTAGACGGCGGCATCCGACGCTCTAAATAGACAAATTCTAATTTTCAATCTTCGATTACCTGTTCATAAGTTCGACTATTCAAGTTATAAAACATTAAATCACTAAAAAATATTTTGTTCTGAAGATTACATTCCAAAATGCCTACTAAAAAGTTTTCAACCCAAGAGTTATCGTTTGAGGAAAGAGAAGCAATGAACGCTTCGGACCGAAACCAATGCCTAGAACCTTCCTCGAAATCAAAATACGACTGCGGCGTCCGTCGATTTATCGCTTTCTGCAAAAGCCAAAAAATAGAACACCCGATCCCATCAGAAATTAATCTAGCCCACTTCATATCAGTCGTCGGACGAGAGATCAAACCCGGAACGATGAAAACGTATCTAACTGGCATCGTTAGGCATTACAAGCAAGAGTTTCCGGATATCGTAGCAATAAGAAGTGGAGATATAATCAAGGACTCCATCACAGGCTGCGAGAAGCAATTTTCCGAGCCTGGAAAACAAGCACCTCCATTCACACTTTTAGATTTAGAGATTGCATCACATCGATATAACACCACATTCGACGATCTTTTATTCAACCTCATTTTAGCACTCGGGTTCGCGGCATTACATTGTCTCGGCGAACTAGTCACCCCCGATGTCATCGCTTTTCGAAATACCAGAAAATCGATCCGAAGATCTTCAGTTAAAATCTCTCTCAGAGGCGAAGCCGCATCATACACCCTCCCATATCATAAAGCCGACAGAAAGTTCAAAAGCACTCCGGTGGTCGTAGTACAACGCGAAAACAGCCACCTGTGCCCAGTCAAAACACTGGTCAGATACATTAACATGCGAGACAAACTCTTCCCAGCCCAACTCCTTCTTCTAGTCAAGGAAGACGGCATACTCCCGACCCGAACTTGGTTCATGGATCGCCTTACATCAATTTTCGGCAACGACAGAACCGGTCATTCCCTTCGAGCAGGAGGCGCGACAGCTTTAGCTCAAGCCGGCATGCCTATGAAGAGCATCCAAGCAATTGGCAGGTGGTCTGGTGACTCATACGCTCTGTATGTCAGAAACCACCCAATACTCAATATGCGCAAGGCAGTGGAGCATATGCCACAGATTGGACTCACAATGGGCGAGCATATACAATTCCCAGGAAATGCTCCCGTGCGTCATTTCAAATACCAACCTACCTTTGCTCAATCTGATCTGGCTCTCTTTTATACAGTCATTGTATGAAAGTCACAGGTCTTGGTTTCAAAGGGTCGCATCGGAAAACCATGCGATCGGCTCTCGTAAGTGACTCGTCCTTCAGGACTTCACTCTTCGACGCTGACATCCTTCTCTGTTAAACAGAAGCCCAAACCCCTCGCTTATTAAGCAGGGAAGACAACGCGTCTTTGATGACTAATAGTCACGCAGGTCAGCTCTCAGCAGTCACAAGCTCGAGCTCCCTTTCCTCGCTGACCATGTCTCATTCTTACAGAATCGACAGATGGCGGGTTTTTTCAAGCATAGGCGGGGATCCTCATACATGAGCACCTAATGACAGTACGCTGCGTTCCAACGGAATCAAGCTACTCCTAGCCCTGCTAACTGCTATATTCCACACCTTAGGGCCAAAAGGATTCACACCAGAGTCGCACAACACAGCGGCTCCGCCGCACATCAAGCTCTCATACTATACCATCACCGACTCTTAATCATTACGTGGGCGGTTGCGCTCCTGATCTTTCTTTCGCCCCGGGTCAACCATTCATGCAAATTCAGGCCCCCGGGCCACCATGAGTAGCAAGCGTGTCAAATTGCCAAACGAACCCAGCAACTGATTCCTCGACGTTGGCACGAAGTGTTAACACAGTGGAATCTGTGAAAGGGGCGAGTGACACCTGGCAAAGAGAAACACGCGCAAGCTACTCAAAGAAGAGGTGCAACAAAATGCAACTCGACAGATTTCCCCAATGAGTCTGGACAAAGCAAAGTAATCCAGAAATCTTTCTTTCCCTCCATTTTGTTATCCCCCAGATCTAAAATTCTTTATCATCAGTAAAAATTGTTAGCGAAAAAATCTTATAAAAAATTATTTCACTATTATCTTAGTTATCGTAGTTCTCTTAGTCCTCTCTCAAAAATCTTAAATTAATTAGTACATCTTAGTTATCGTTATAATTTTTTATTTTCCCGCCCACCACCCTTCTTCTCAAACAAAGGGTTCAAGTTTCACGTGGTGCATACATTTCAATTTTCTTTGTTATCCTTTTCACTTCGACGGAGCGGGGAGCATCCCAGTGGGAGAGCTCAGCGCCGAGTGTGGCCACCCACATGCGCTCCTGATCTTTCTTTCGCCCCGGGTCAACCATTCATGCAAATTCAGGCCCCCGGGCCACCATGAGTAGCAAGCGTGTCAAATTGCCAAACGAACCCAGCAACTGATTCCATTAGAATGCATCACATACAACCTGTCAAAATCGATCTGCCTGAGCCAGATGACGCGGATCAATGAAAGTCCTTGGCCGGTAGGATATTGGTTAATCAGAGAGCAAGCGCTACGGAATATGAAACATAATCACAATGAGTAAGCTAAAAGATGCTAAACAGACAAAACTAAAACAGCTATGTAGCGGGTCTATGACAGATTGTGAGAAATAAGAAAGGTGAAACAAGAACTCATGAGGAGCGAGAAGTGTGCACCATGTGAAGACTTGAGGATGATAACGTATGAGACCAGCGTGGTCAAGTTTGAAGATTGATGAGACGTCTCATTATGCGTTGTGCAGAGTTCTCTTGTCGAGCAGCTCTTCTTTCGGACATCCATCACACAATCATCTTCGAACTATACACCTCTCTTACCAAACGATTAGTTTTTGGTGTGATCAAGATTCAAGACTCATCCTCAATGTACAGTCGAACCTTTTGATTTGTCCATTCTTTCTCAGCTTCACCACCTAATACAAAAACCTCAAAATCACAATCTCTTCATCAATCGGGCACTTTCATTTTGAGGTGACGTGAAATTACGACATATCAGGAAGAAATCATACAACGCTGACATGATCTTTCATCAACTTGACTAGATATCGTCAATAGCAAGAATACTCCTTTGGGTCAAAAACAAAAATTTCGAAGTTACTGCTTATATAATTTTCAATAGTTCGGAGAAATTCATCCAGTAATTGCTTTCTGTCCGAGGAGATATAGATTTCAAAAAAAAGTCTCCACCCCACAATCAACTTATACAAAAAAACATGACACTCAAATTAGAAGCTACGAGGAACCCCACATCTTTTTTAGATGAGTCCAGAAAGAGGAACCTTTTCAACTTCAAGCTCTCGACTTCGTTGTTCCTGGCTATAATCTTATGTGGACAGGTGTTGGTGATGGCCTTACCGCTTCCTTCACCATCTTTCAATGTGGTATCTTCTTTGGCTGAAGTGTCGAGTAAGAATCATGCTGTTGGGATCAAGGATGCAACCAAAGGTCTAGTGTTACTATCGATTTTGAACTCTTCCTGCTCAATGTATCTCCTTCACAAGGTTATCTCAGTGACTGATCTGATCCAATGTTTTAGGTTTGGATACTGTCAAGTCTACTGAACGTGTTTTGGTTTCCCCAAGAGGTGAGCTTTATAATCTACTCAATGGTTTAAATCAGTCTTGATATCACAATTCATTTCCAGACCCTATCAAATATTCTTCTACAAACCTAAAGAACATTCATTCAGAGACCTTGGCGTTGAAGACGCCGTAAATCTGGATTCTATCAAATCTGCGGAAGATGCTTTGAGAACCAAGAAAATCTTAGGTAAGCTTTGTGATATAATGGTTCAAATCAATCTTGACATCACAATCCATCTTCAGACCCAGCTTCTTCTCCAAATCTCAAGAACTTTAGTCCTGATACTTTGGAATCTAAAGATCTCCCACAGATGGACGATGCTTCTGGCATTGGCAAAGAAGGTCTTTCTCTTCCATCATCTACAGACAAAAGCAAATTACCGGAAAATCAGATACCTCCAGAAGATTCAGACAGATTTGGAAAACTGAAATCAAATAGATTCTTGAGTTGGATTGCGCAATTCAAAAGTGAGTTCTGATTTGAATACGCAGATTGAGAAACATACATTCATCTACATATTTTGGTTTGACAAATTCTCCTTAGATTGGAGTAAGAAAATTGCCGAATCTTTTTCAAAACTCATACGACGTGTGAAAGTTAAACAAACGCCATTAAAGGATACATTGCTCCAATCAGCAAAGAATTCCAAGCAGACATTGGGCAAAGTGAAAACATCAGTAAAACCCAGTCGGATCCAATTGATCCAGACCGTCATAAAGAGATATGCCAAAGCATTAAAAGTCAAATACAAAAGTAAGTCTCAATTATATCTTCATGATAAACAAGAAGTGTCGACATATATTTAAAACCCATTTTTAGATACTATCACAGAACGCGCAGAAAGGAAAGCGTACCGCAAGCAACAAAATGCCCTTTACGGTCATCAAATTGCTCAGGATTGGTTTGGGACACTACCACCACCGCGCCCCCCTCAACCGCGACAGCAAAAGACGGCAGCGGAGCCTCACCATATTTCCCAAGTAGTACCAATGCCATAGTTATGGAAAAACCTAATCCAGATGGTGGTATCTGCATGCGCACTGTATAGCACTCGGGCACCTCATAGAGCCATAAGGCCTCTACAGCTAAAAAATAGGGTCTGGTGTTTTATCTTGATGTGTTTGTTTTCTTTTTTTCATCATATACCACTCCAAGATCCCCATCCTTAATATGCATTTAATTTAGCACAGGAATTGGAAAAAGTCGCATTTTTTATTTCTCTCTTTTACTACGCTATAGCCATCGCGGGTTTATTTCATGACAGAAATGCCTTCAAGAGCATTTGAGGCACATCTTTCTAAACTCACATAGCCTCTAAAAACATGAAGTGCAGTAGTAGGGCAATTTTCACCCGCAAAGCAGCAAAACTAGGCAACCTACACCATTCATTGAAATTGGTGATATAATGCGGCGGCGGTATTAGCGTGGTTAGTGATGGACACCAGCAACAGGAACTGAGAGGAAGGATCAGAAAAATCGCTTTCTTTAGTCATCCAAATACATCAGCATTTTGCTTTAGTCATTCACACAGTGGCACTGGGAAGTGTTTGGATATACTCAATCATCTTTGTGATGTGATATGTCTTGATCATCATGTTCTATACGTGTTGATTATTCAGTTTTCATTGCACCATGAAGAAAGCTTTCTTTCGTCTTTCAACATAGTTTTTAAAATTCAGATTGTTGAGATTCAATCAATCTTCTCAGTCTCACCAGATGCACTGCAGCCACCTTACCTGATTTTGCCCTGGTATGCTTCCGAGTCTATCTCAACACACCTGTTCCGATACCCAATCTCACAATAGGATAGCTTACGAGAACCTGCTGATGTATGAGGGGACCCAGTCGAGTTGCTTGCATAACATTAAAGGATGAAGATGTCAAGGTTGGGAAGGAGAATAGTTGAGCTATACTCATCTGATCTCACGAGGCCATTTATGAGGTTACTTGCTCGATACATCATTCAAATTTAGCTGCTAGTACGAGAAACGCTTAAATTTCTATTAAGTATGAACAGATTCGCATCGGCTATATGTGTTTATGGAGCTGAGGTGGTTCTTTGATATTTGGCACTGGAATCTATGAAAATCAATCGCTTTCAACAAGAGACGTTTCACTGCGTTCAAAACCCGGGCGTTTGAAACTTTTCGATTTTTCATCCATAACGAAGCGGTGTTGGCCTTCATTGATTCTTATCAACACATCTGTTCAGCAACTTTTAGCTACCACTCTCACTTTTTACATCTACTTGATCACACCTTCTCATATACTTATCGACGTTGATCGATTACCAATCATTAGATGCATTTCTAATTTTCTTACCATCATCTTCTGGTCCAACAAATTTATTTTGGAATTCATGATATAAATCAAGAATGATTGAAGCAAATGAGTTTCATGAACCATAGTGTAAATAAAGACCTTTCCACTTTGTATTCTGGCTCAAATAATGATCAAGGGAAAGCTAAAATACAATACTGTCTCCAAAGTTTAATCTTTCCACAAATGTTTTTTAGGATAAATCTTGGAACGCAAGAATAAGAAAAAGGATCCAAAAAGGATTCACAACTTAGAAACCGGTTTCTCATGACACTTCAACTTGAATTGGTAATGAAGGATAGAAAGAGTGTGGGGAAATCAAGAATGTGTGGGATTAGGAACGTAGTAAATAATGGTATCTGGTGGTGGGGGACCATAAGTGAGACTAAGTGGACCACCAGGATTTAGTCCAGTAACAAAATAAGCTTGATTTGCCATTCCAGCTACTGGATTGTGAACGTAGTATGTTGTGGTTCCTGGTGGAGGTGCACCTGAATAAGCGACCGGAACGGCTGTTAGTGTGACATTTGCCACGCTATAAGCCCAGCCTGAAGATGATCCGTTCGAAGCCGGTGGTGGTGCTGGCGGCGTTGGAGTGATGATCGCTGGAGGTGGTATGATCACTGGGGGTGTTGAGACTGGGGCTGGAGGAGAATCAATTGCCACGTGACATTCACAAGCATCGTTCCAATCCTCTCGATTCGCAGTTCCGGGCATATCATCCGCTACCACGCTATAAATGGTAGAAAGTTTCAGTTATAAGGATTATTGCTAAGGATCCGGATATGGATGTAGATGGCCCGGATGATGAAATGGGACTCACTGTTTACAACATTGAGTACAACATCCACTCCAACCGTCCTTACAAGCTTGAGCAGCGTCCTGTTTAACACATACTTGGAAAGTAAAAGATGAGGAATACATTAAGCGTAAGTAAGTAAGAAGTTTGATGGTGAGAAACTTTGATCAGACTGATACTAACAAGTGACATGGAATATGCCTCTCTTCGCCAGCATGGAACTCGCTGGCTTGGCATCAACGAGCACCAAAGGGCTCCATAAAAGAAGGGCGCATAGAATGAAGTTGGTGATCGACATCGGTACTGAGATTGTGTTAACGAACGTCAAAGGTCACAAAAGAATGGATCGTGTTTTTGTAAGGAATGTGGTACAAATCAATGGGTTCAGCGCTGGACTGACGATGAGCCTTTATAGGCAGAGCTTTCGGTCGCTTCGTCCCAAACTCAGATGATGAGATCAGTTTCGTCAACACATGCTAAAGCTCAGAAGGAAAAATATGAAACGCGCTTTCAGGATGAATCATCTATTGATTGATTCGTTTGTCTGTTTTTCCGAACATCCGTCCACTTCGCACGACATTTGTTGTTAGACGCTAAAACCGTCCACTTCTCTCTCTAACATGCATGTGAAAGTGCATTTGCCATGGGCTTCTGTTACACCGAAAGTTTCATGGTAAATGTATTTCCTCAGTTAGAGATATGAGGTCACGGTCAAGGTTACACTGGGACTTTGCTTTCTCTTGCTCTATCATCCTTCTCCTTCATCGTCTTCTTGAATTGATGATAAAATTTGTCAAGACAGAAGTCGGACGTCTACTGGGTATTGCAAAAAGAAAATCCAAAACTCAAATTCAGAGCTTGAAACAGAACATATGTGAAATATCTTCTCCTCTTAAGGAACGATGTCCTGCATGTATATTCTCAAAACAACCACCCTACATCAAGATCCTATATGAAGACAAAGATCGATGTGTTTCCGCTTGAGTATCACGCCAGATATGTGAAAGATAATGAGATTGCCCGGGGGCGGTAGATAGCGGTAGATTCTTGTTATCTTACAAAGAAGATTGACTTTCACTTCTGATATGGAAAAATGTAGTCCATCTCACTAATCATCGTTCAACAGGAATATGTATGTAGAAAAAAATTCAAAAATAAGTCACCCTCTTTTGTTCGATCTTTGCACACCTCTTCGAATTTCTAAGCCTTGCGTCTTGATGTCTAGTCAAAGTTGTAAAAATTGATATATAATTCAATTTTTGGCATGTTAGTTTGCTTTTGGGCATAAAAGTTCCTACTTCCTTACAGATATTTGACTTTGGATGTTGCATAGATGGAACATACTTGGTATAGAAATCAAGTAGATGAATAAACCAGAGCAACCACTTGATCTCACATTTGATCCATTTGCTGCCGGCTGCAGCCTGACTGCAAGAACACGTTGCGTGTCCATTGTCGAGGTTGTTTTGAGAACAGACTCGGATAGGTAGCACGGATCGGATATGACCCGGGTAATCGAAGTCCATTGCGTCACAGTCACAATGTCAGAATCCAATTCAACTTCTTCACCACAACACCATCGATCATCGACCATCAACCATCGATCAGCATCCATCAAGACCATCGGACTCATTGGGATCAATCTAGTACAATTCCAACGAAGCTGAACGCTGCATCATTTGATACCTAAGACTCCAACTCAAACCAGCTCAAACCAAGCTCAATCTTAGATTGCTTTCTTCGTCATATGGCATCCAAACCACGATTCTTTACCGCTTCAAAGAAAGGTACCACTCAAAGCACCTCGATTTATTCAGACAAGCAATCGACAAAACGAAGCTTTACTCATCCTTTCATCTCTTTCACGCAATTTTAGGTGAAAATTACGAATTAAGAGCCGGACTCAATTCACAATATGCCGATCAAAGGAAAGATGCAATCAAGAGAGTGATCGCAAATATGACAGTCGGAAAGGTAAGCTTCTTCTTCCTTTTGCCTTATACGCTGATAAACAGAAAAAAAAACACTTCATTCAATCTTTGTTTGCGATTTTTAGGATGTCAGTGGATTATTTCCGGACGTATTGAAGAATATGCAAAGTGATGATCTAGAACAAAAGAAATTGGTTTATTTATACTTGATGAATTATGCTAAATCTCATCCCGATCTTGTGAGTGAAGCTCTTTGATTTTTCCGATCACATTTCACCAAAACAAATTTACCGATCTTGATATACATGAACAATTCTGGACTATCGCTTAAAGGTTATTCTGGCAGTTGTAAGTATACTTTTCTTCAGATCACTTGAGATTATGAACTTGAATTGACGGAATCTTCCTGGTTGCTCAAACTCATAATAGAACACATTTGTAAAGGTGCGCCCGAATATCCCGATCGAAAGAAGCTATTTAGAATCGAGCAGATTCTGATCTTCTCCAATCTTGCTCGATCAAAAATGTATTCAGGACACAGAAGATTCAAATCCACTCATTCGAGCTCTTGCAATTCGTACAATGGGATGTCTTAGAGCTGATAAAATCTTGGATTACGTCTGCGATCCGTTACGAAAATGTCTACAAGATGATAATCCGTATGTACGAAAGACGGCTGCTATTGGGGTAGCTAAGCTTTATGACCTCAAACCTACTCTCGCCTTGGAGAATGGATTTGTGGATCAATTAAAAGACATGGTGGCTGATAGTAATCCGATGGTCAGTTGAAGGCTTTCTTTGTCTGTTGCATTCTTATTTTTTAACAAACTTGTTGCGCAATCTCTCATCCTATCATCATATCCGATTCCCGCTCTCGATCACAATCGTCAGGTAGTAGCAAATGCGGTGACAGCTTTGACAGAGATTCATGAATGTGCTATTACCACAGATCCATCAGATACAGTGTTCATTTTGGATCAACCCGTCATTCAAAAACTATTGGTTGCCTTGGGAGAATGTACAGAATGGGGTCGGATCGCTCTCTTAGGTGCAATAGCAAGGTATCGATCGGTTGATCAAAAGGATGCTGAACAGATTTGTGAAAGGGTTATACCCCAATTTCAACACGCTAATGCTAGTGTAGTCTTAGCAGCTATCAAGGTTTGTGGTTTTGTTCTTAGGCTCAAAAGGTTTTACTGGGAGATCCTTTGATGTCATAATATCCAGGTACGACCTTTTTTGAAAAATACTAACCTACATGCTCGTGAATCGCTTGACATGCCAGGTCATCATGATCCATGTTAGGGATGTTAGACGGGAAGAGTTTGTAAAACAGATCATGCGAAAAATGGCACCACCTTTAGGTCAGTAATTGACTATAGAGATCTGGGTTATCTTTTCATCGCACATTTCAAACACGACTTCTGATGTCATTAAATTTTATATACAGTGACACTAGTATCGTCAGCACCTGAAGTACAATGGGTAGCATTACGAAATATCAATTTGATTCTTCAACGTAGGCCTGACGTCTTACAAAATGAAATGAGAGTGTTTTTTTGCAAGTATAACGATCCTGCGTATGTGAAAGTTGAAAAACTAGATATCATGGTTAAACTTGTAACAGAGAAAACAGTTGATACACTTTTAAGTGAACTGAAAGAGTTGGGTTCAATCGACATTTCATTTCTCAATACTTTATATTCGCAGTTTAGAACATCTTGAACTTGAATGCTGATTGTTTTGTTTTTAGGTATGCCTCTGAGGTCGATGTCGAGTTTGTCAGGAAAGCCGTTAGAGCTATTGGACAATGTGCAATCAAGATTGATGAAGCTGCTGAGCGATGTGTGAATGTATTACTTGATTTGATTTCTACTCGAGTCACATACGTTGTGCAAGAGGCTATCATTGTGATTAAGGTTCGTGTGTCTTTTCACATTCTCCTCTCTTTAGATATTTTGACTTAAATCACTTCGGTGTTATCCTTTCTTCATATTTAACGAAACGCAGGATATCTTTCGAAAATATCCTTCGAGGTACGAAGGCATCATACCTACGCTTTGCTCGAATCTAGACGAACTTGATGAACCGGAAAGCAAGGCCTCATTAATTTGGATATTGGGAGATTATGCTGAAAAGATTGATAATGCGGATGAGATCTTAGCCACGTTCTTAGATACCTTTTCTGAGGATCCCTTTGCGGTAAGTGTATCTTTTGGTTGTTGTTCATGCTTGAAGAATCAATGTGGTTCATTTATTCGGTATCTGAATCTTGTATCACAATATAACTGATCACTCTATTGAATGTCTCTCATTTTTCTCAAACGAAAAAGGTTCAACTACAAACCCTCACAGCGATTGTAAAACTGTTTTTGAAAAAACCTGATGGTGCTCAATCACTTGTGCAGAGGGTACTTTCACTTGCGACTAAAGATTGTGATAGTCCTGATCTACGAGATCGTGCATATATTTATTGGAGACTATTATCCACCGATCCTGAAGCCACAAAGGTTCGTATTGAAAGAAGTCTTATATCAATTCACAAGATCATTGGTTTTAATTTGCTGATATGTTTTTTGGGCCTTTGATTAGCGTGTAGTATTGAAGGCTAGACCTACGATCTCACTTCATACAACTTCAGTATCACCTGCACTTTTAGAAGAATTAATTGATGAGATCTCAACACTCGTTAGTGTATATCATAAACCTGCTGAGACATTTATTGGACGTGGTCGATTAGGAGCAGATGAAGTCCAGCGGAAGGCCACCGAGTCAGTGTTGATTTCAATCAGAATCTTTGAATCTTTTCTTTTTTGGCATTTTCTTATGGAGTACAATGACTGACGGTGGATGATGTGCCTGCTTGGTGTTTTTCAACCCGATACACTTTCCCTCAAACTCAACAGACGAGAAGAAGATTTATCCAGGGAGAGAGCAATTGCAACAGTAGTACAAGGTCAACATGCTGAGAATTTATTAGATTTCGGTGATGACGATGAAGAAGTAACAGCAGGAACAATGCCAGCGGTAGTAGATGGACTTGGTCAATTGATGATCAATAGTCCAAATTCAGATCCTAAGAAATTAAATCCGATCAGTTCAACGAGTGCTAGTAATCCATTAGATGATCTCTTTGGTTTGTTTGATAATCCTACAAGTGTTAATCAAGTAGGCGGTGGTGGTGTTAATAGTAATAACAGTGGGAATGGGATCAATTCGATGGGTATGGGTATGGGTATGGGTATGGGAGGAAATACACAAGGAGGAAATGTGGATTTGTTTGATGGATTAATATGATTTAAATTTAAATGATTCTTGTCCCTGTTCTTCAAGTTTTTCTTAGTTTCTTTTTATTTTGGTAGATGTAACAGACACCTTTTTGATATGGAAAAAAACAATGGTAAAAAAAATCATCAAATGAAAAGAATATAGGTTTAATTGAGAGAAATGAATAGAAGGAAACAAGTTTGTTGTGTTCAAAAAGGTATAACTTGTAGCTTTTCAGATGGGATATAGGAGGTAAGAAAAGGATTGATTTGAAGTTGAATGTAATGGATGATCATCTTTCCAAAGCTGTCTAGAGCTCTTGAGTCTTGAAGCTATTTGACCATGTACTAGTAGCTGATGCTTTGCAGTATGTATATGTTTGCTTGGAGTGAGTTTACCATGTTTATCAGAAAGATCTTCAACTTTACATGTTTTATGATGTTTTGGATCACAGTTTCAAACGTGTGTCTCTGGTACTTGAAATGGATTTAAGTGACCTAATGCAAATTGACAATTCTTTTCTTTGATCGGATTAACGTGTATATAATAAAGAAAATCTCCAGATTATCCAGAGTATTTGTCTAGGCCTTTGGTATTGTAGACCTCCGGAACTCCATTACTGCTATAAGTTGGAATGAATTTAATGGATCCTTTAACCAAATTTTCCATCAACGTATGCGATCGCCTATCTTCAACAGCGATTTGGATATCCGCAAGCAGTGACACTACGGCGTTGTATGCCGTGTCGTTTTGACAATCTCATGTTGGCTCCCGCAAGATCCAAAGAAGCGAGAATGGATACAAAGGAGATGAATGTGTAGAAGATCATAGTTGAATTTTTATAAGGAGATGTGATTTTGACTTGAAGTTGTACAGATAAAATGAAAGAAAAGAGACTCTTGAGTTGAATGAGAAGGATTGTAATCAAAAAAGCAGGAGCGCGCTCGATTACTGGTCAACTTTAAAGGATTGGGCACTTTACTTGCTACTAATGGTAAGACTTGTAGTAGATTTTCAGAGGAGAGTCCATAGGAGTCCATCTGTTTGCATGAATTCATGGTAGGGTCATGACCAGAAGACTTCGATACCTTTCAGAGATCCAGCATGCGTATAAAGTACGTCTCAAAAAGAATGAAAGAAAGCTATTAGATGTGAATCATGGTTCACAAGTATTGCCTATTTGTTTGATGTAAATGATGAAAATCAATGTTGTATATTTCTCAAGATCCTGTCAAGATGAGGAAACAATAGAATTTGTTGTTTAACATGATTCTTCACTACAAAAAGTTTTTCTTTAGAAATGAAAGTGTTTAGAATTGAATTTAATGCAAATTGGAAAGTATCATTTCGGAACAAAGAAAAACAAAAGAATGTAAGAAAAATCGCTGAATTTCCAAAGAAACAGAAATGCGGAGATGTCCTTTGAGCTTTTTTTGTCAGATTGGCTGGATGAATGAATTGATTAGAAAAGATCCATCCCAAAGGCCTGAAGGCTTTAATATTATCGACGACCGTGACTGCACGGTTGAAGATTGGGAATTGTAAGTCGAGATAATGATCAGATAAGCAAAAAACAAAGATGAATGTTAAAGGAAAAGAACCGGGGGCAAAACTCACCAACGATGTGCTTGAACTAGTTAGTTGAATGAAACACAATAGTACCACAAGCAATCCTTTTCTTATTAGCGTCATGGATCACAACACTTCTACCAACAAAACTGATTTCTTCGGGTGTAAATTTAAGTTGTGAATCTATATAAGATCTGTAAGGTCTTGCTGCAGTAAGTTTTCCATGTTTCCCCGAAAGATCTCCGACTTCACATGTGTTAACATCTACTGGATCACAAGCTACTATTTCGGGTAATTTGTATGGATTTAAATGACCTAATGCTGTTTCACAATTCTTTCCTTGGATCGGATTAACGTGTACATGATATGGGAAAGGTCCAGTTGTTCCAGAATATTTATCTAAGCCGGTGATACTCAAGATCACTTTAACTTCATCACTTTTATAAGGTGCTATAAATTTAACATATCCTTTCACGCCGAATTCTCCATCCACATATGCTATCGCCTCCCTTTGACAGTACATGTTTCGAGGTGTACAAGCATCAGCACTTCCTTGTTGTACGCCACTTCGTCTTGATAATCTCATGTCGGCCTGCGTAAGATCGAAAGAAGCCAGAATGAAGAGAAATGAAACAAAGCTGTAGCAGATCATAGTTGAAGTTTGGTAAGAAGATTTGAATAAAGAAAACGAGACTCTTGAGTTGAATAAGAAGTATAGTTAAGTATGTTGTGTAAAAGGAGTTGATGTAATGCTAGCAAAGTGTAGAAAATCTCGGATATAATAAAATCAAGTGTTGTTCTGAAGGATTGTAAAGAATGGGGAATGTACAGTTCTTTGAAAGAGAGCTTCACGTCTTTTAAATGTTGTGATGAATAAATTTCAAAATCCAGCCAAAATGCCTCATGAACGTTGCGTGTTTTTTGCTTGATATCCCTTCTCAACAATCTGGATAAGTGGCGTTTAATAATTTCAAAGGGAGCTCCAAGCCTTCAAGCCTTTCCCAGCACGAATTGAGCAATCGACTTTGCCACATCTTCTGCGGCTTTCTGCGTGGGGTCGTGGGGGGAAGAAGAGTATATCCGTCCTTGAGTGAAGGATTCTGACGAGTTCCTGCTCGATTTAATTCTTAAGCACAAGAAGGGTTTTGGAGTGAGGATCAGGGATGACTTCAAAGACCCTGACAAAGCTGATTAGAAGTGACTGCGAAGGACTGCGAACTTGACAACCCAACTCGCTTTCAGTGTTCTCAGCTGCAGCTGTCTTCTACCTCGGTATATATGGGATCTGGATCAGTAGGACCCAAAGTTGAAACACATCTTCTTGTCGGACGAGAAACATTCCACTCAGATCTCTAGATTCACTCAAGCCTTTATCTGATACCATGGTGATCTCAGAGTTTCCGCATGTAACCAGAAATATAACAGGTGTCTTACTTAGTTGAATGTAAATAAATACAATCTCCCCAAAAGACAAACCAAAAGGTCAAATAATAATTGAATGTATGCATATGCCTAGGTTTCAAAAAGATCAGGAACAAGAGTACGGGAACAATAAAGAAAAATGTACAATCGAGTGAGAATTGAAGAGATCAACATGTCTGCAAAACAAAGAATCCATGAAAGCGATATGATCATAAAAATTATATCAGTACAATACAAAATCGGCGTTATTGAAGCTATTATTTTTGAATTTCACCAAGAATTAGAGCAAAAATAGTCAATTTGATACACGAATAAACACAGATCAGTGAATGCGCGAGTTAAACGAAAGGTCAATGGATGTTACAATGTATACAAAACTGTTCAAAGTCTAAGTTCCGACATTTTTCAGTCAAGCCTGATGATCAAATCGAGACATTGAATCAGCATGACCAGCACTCTTGCTGATCCAGCTCTTTGCTCGTGGTTTGATGGAAGCAGTGGTAGCTGCAATGAGGAAGTAACCGGGACCGCCAAAGGCTCTAGGAACAAGGATGGGCTGAGAGCGGCGTCGGCGTAGCTCCGGTACCGGGACTGATGAAAGCCGCTGAGTCGGGATGAAAAGCGATTGGATAACGGGGTGATCAGATCGTTCTGGAAGGTTGTTGTCAAGTGCGATAAGGTCCTCTTCGGCGACTGAGCTGAGTGGCGCACGACTGCGAATATAAGCAGTCGAACTCTCTCGTAAGGGTTGCGTTGTGGTGCTCTCAGCGTTGTCCTTGTCGCTTTCATCGTTGTTCCAAGTAAGAATATATACTCCTGTAAAAATGAAGAGGCAACCAAAGAAAAAGTTCAAAGCTTGGGCCGAGGTCACGTTCTTAAAATCTTGATAGAGGATCGCAGATCCGACGATGGCGATGATTGTAAAAAGCACAAATTGAACAGGTACGACATGCTGTTCAATGCAGAAAATACGGCCAACCTTCAGTGCGCCTCTAGCTTTGGAACAAGGGGATAAATAAAGGAAGTTGAATCACCTTTGAGTCAAATCGTTGGAGAGCTCGATTCAAGAAGATTACTTGAGTCACAGCGGTGACAACAAGAACGGCCGTTACTAACCAAGATACCGGATAATTGAAGCTACAGTTGTATGATCAAGAATATGTAAAGTCAACTTTGAAGCCACGTCTACCTTTTAAGAATATCTAATCACCATGCGATGAACATCTGATTGAGTAACGAACTCAATGCCTTTGTGGAGAGAACGGTGAAGCCACCTGAGGAACAGGCAAGGGCAAATCAACTTTTGCCCAGAATTGCATTACGATACTCTGAACGTATGTGAAAAGAGCAGGACGCACCTAGAATTGCACACAATCCAACGTCAATCACGATGAAACGCTCTGCGTAACGCGAACTGGACAGGATAGCCAGAGCCCTACATTGAGATGCAGGGTTTTCCTAGTCAGGTCAGCTGATACCGAGATTAAATGAGATATCGCTCAAATAGACCTACTCACACAACTGCGACTAGACACAGGGAAACATATACTATGAAAGTCACTTGAGATAATGCTTCCTGGAGTTGCGCGGGAGAAAAAGCCTGTGTACTACGCGGGGTGCTCAGAACAACTACAGAGATAATCCAATGCGGACGGTCAACTCGGGATGAACACGCTTTTGAAGGCAGATGACTAAACAGTGAGAAAAAAGCCTACTGGTAATTGTACCAAGGATTGCAAGTACGACACCAAAGATATCGGACTTGTAAAACTGTTCGCCAAGTAAAAGGGGTGCTACCGCACAATTACTGATCAGGGCCACTGTCCCTAGAGGAGCTACAAGCGAAGCCGGTGCAAATCCATCTGATAAAACACTCAGAGACAGGGTCAATAACTATCAGGAAGTCGAACATGACATCAAGACCTGGGATGCTTACATGACAAGAAGTTGCACAGTTCACCACCTGTCATCAAGAGGATTCCGAGCCACCAGATTGGTGAGCGCAAGTAAGATAATTTGGAGGAAGAATCCAAGTTCGAACTGTTCGCCTGCGATGCGTATCTGGGGGAAGCTGGGTTATCGGAGGATACAAGAGGAGTCTGTTCGCTGGCATCTGCGGCTTCATCGAATTCTCTTGCTGGTTTTGCAGGTAATGGAGATGAATTGTTCTGATTTGATGATGTTTGAAGCCTCTGATGAGCTAGCTTTTGAAGATTGAGGGCGATCGAAATCCCCACATTTCCTAAAACAAAGGAAAAACCATTAGCTGAGAGCTGGGAAAACCATGGATCGCGTAAAAGACAAAGACAAACCGACCGCAGATAGAAATAGCCACACCGATCAGGCTGAAGGTGAGAAACATTTCTTGTAAGTTGTTGTAAGCGAGATGGTGATGAGTAAATGGGAAAAGCTTACCTGGCAGTTGTCGGACTAGTCATCAGGAAGGAATATTGAAGGTAAAGAGGAAGTGACGTGAAGGAATTCGGATAAGGTCATCCATCACATGATACATCAGCTCCACAAGTTACAAGTGTGCGTGTTGGCCCTGTTGACAACGGCCGCACCGAGCCGGGCTTTCTGACACGGGGTTCCCATGCCGGCGACAGGACCACAGTGCACACCACACTGACACGACAAAATGTCTTTTTGGTTGATCCTGTTTACTTGAGCTTTTGACATCATATTTGGTGGAGGGAATTTCAGGGTATGTGATTCTGTTGTTCATTGAGATTGTTCAATTTTTCCTTCTTTCCACGTTGGCAATATAAGGAAAATTCTAACGGCTTTAAGGGCCCGTTCGGCTGGAGACCAAAAACTCTGTTTGGCCAAAAACCCCACCAAAGCTAAAAACTCTGTTTGACCAAACAGAGTTTTTGTTTTTGGTCAAAAACTCCGGTGTTCGGAAACGATATCTGATCAAACAGAAAAACTCTGTTTGATCAAAAAATCATCAATTTTGAAAAACAGCCTCGAGGCTGTTTTTCGAGCCAAAAACTCTTTTTGCCCTTCACCTCCATCGATCATCTTCCACTCACCTCCATCTTTCCATATGATCGAACCTTTTATTTCGTTCACACACCCCCTCACCTTTACTCAGATTCCTTTTCTATCATCGTCTTCAAACCCTTTTACTTCCTTCACACACCCCTCACCTTTACTCAGTTTACTTTTCTATCATCGTCTTTTTATCAACTCACGTCGTTGTCTTCCACTCACCTCCATCTCTCCACATGATCAAACCTTTCGTTTCATTCACACACCCCTCACCTTTACTCAGATTCCTTTTCTATCATCGTCTTTTTCTCAACTCACGTCGTCGTAGTCTTTCAATTCTATCCGCCGTAGTCTTTCAATTCTATTGTTGTAGTCTTTCCATTTTATCCGCCGTAGTCTTTCAACTTATCCGCCGTAGTCTTTCAACTTAATCGTCGTGGTCTTTCCATTCTATCCGTCGTAGTGTTTCCATTTTATCGTCGTAGTCTTTCCATTCTATCCGCCGTAGTGTTTCCATTTTATCGTCGTAGTCTTTCAGCTTAATTGTTGTTTCTGCTATGGGTACTGCCGACACACCGAAAACCAAAAGACCGCGAGCTCCCAGAGCAGCCCGACCTCTAGTACAGTCACCTAGCCCAGAACCACCTGCCTCGATCTCAGCTACTCCAAACCAGCCAACTGCCTCAAACCCACCAATCGCCGAGACATCGAAAGAACCGAAGATCAAGGCGCAGTGGGACGATGACGACAATGCCATTTACATCGAGGCTTTGCTTTCTGAACGCCGGCCTGCTAACGGACCGATTGGGGCCCAGAACGCTACTACGGCGCATGGATTCAAAGCCGCTACTTGGACCGCTGTTGTTGAAAAACTTGCAGGAAGCAAAAGAAAGAAGATCCCAGGTACTGATTTATTTACTGTTAGCGGAGTCAAAACCGCAAAAGCTTGTAAGACTCACTGGTATGTTGTAAGTAGCCTTTTTACATTCTTTATTGTTTCATTTTGTTTCGTTTTTATTGATCTTTTCTTGCTTCTACAGTTATCAAAACTGTATGCCGATTACAAACACCTCAATGGGCTGAGTGGGGCAGGGTGGAAGGATGGTTGCATTGACCTTCCTGATGCAGTTTGGGCACCCATTCTCGCTGATACAGTATGTTTTTTTTTACTTTTACTTTTACTTTATTTTCTTATTTATTCAAACTGACTTCTTTACCTCTTGAAGAAGAGTACAAAAGCGAAGGACTACGCTCGGTTGAAAGGTCGACCTTTCCCCCTATTCGATGCGATTGGTACTCTGGTGGAAGGTCATAAGGCTACAGGGAAGTATGTTACAGGGTCAGTTGTCGATAACACCAATCTAGCTTCGACTTCAAGCACCCCAATCAACAAGCAAACGGAGATCCCTTCCAAAGTTGTCAACAAGCCCGACTTAGCTATACCTTCAAGCAGCCCAATCATCAAGAGAACCAAGCTCCCTTCACCTTTTATTGGCCAAACCGAGGATCCTTTCAATCTTCCGTTCTCTTCTCCACCACCTGAATCCGATCGGTCTGCCAAATCACCTCCTTTGGATGATTCCAACTTACCTGGAGCTGGTGACAAGCCCAACAAGGACGACTTGAGTTCAGAGGACGAATCTCCAGCGGCGAAACGACACCGCCAGTCTAAGGTTGCTCTGCAAGAACGCGCTCCAACCAAATCGAAGAAACGATCCGGCATTCAGATTCTCAACGGAATGTCTTCGGATATGAAGACCTTTGGCTCCAACATCCAATCTTCTTTTGCCTCGACTTCAGCCTCTATCGACACTGCAGCCCATATGATTCAAGCTACCAAACCCTCAACTCATGCTTCAGCGGTTTCTCTAATCTATAAATCATCTCTTCAAAACACTCAACGCTACATTGCTTTAGATCTTTTTGCTGAAAAGCCTGTGATGGCTGAAACCTATGTTAATACCCCCGCTGATGAGCGTGATGGTTGGCTCCAATACATCCTCAACAAAAAAGGTCAGTACATTCATCTCTCACCATTTATTCAATATCAACTGACTCATTCTTTCTTAACCATTCTTTCTCTTTACCTTCAAGATCAACTTTAAATTATTATTGATTACATCCATACACGCTGATACAAATGTCTCTGTTAGCTGTCTGATCTTCAATAAAAAAAACTATTAAATCTTTAAATAAAGTGTTGTAGCTGTCTGATCTTCAATAAAAAAACTATTAAAGCTTTTTATAAAATATATTATCAACTACATTTGTATTTATACATGCTGATACAAGTGTAGTGTAGTGGCTGTTACTGTCTGGTTTGTTAGTGATTGCAATGTTAACCTATGTATGTGTTCTTAATTCATATGAACTGATCATGAATTGAGAAGAACTTGTATTGAACAAACAAAAACAAAAGGTTTGATTAATAAAAGTAAGATAACAATACTTCTAAGTGTAAGTGAGACTTGTAATACATGTAAGATAACTTGTAATACATGTAAGATAAAAGCATGTAAGATAAAAGCATGTAAGATAAAAATGCTTTGATTAAGAGTTGTAATATAAAATAAAATAGCTACATATGATTTAAACATCAGGATACATGGGAGGTAGTCCATGTCTTTGTTTACTTTGATTTACCTTCTTTCTTCTTTCAGTCTCTACTAAGTAATCCCTCCACATATCTTCTGCAATTTGATCTCTGAGGTTTTTAGCATAGCTATTACCTTCAGCAGTACTACCAAATTCTTGAAGATAACCAGATTGTTCTTGAGTAGGCGCTTCCGTAGTTTCTTGAGGGTCTGGAATGAATCCTTCTCCGAATTGAGGGAATTCTTCAGCTGAACCTTTTGGATCTTTAACACGAATGAAGTTGTGAATGAAGCACATAACAGTAACCATTGAAATTTGAATCTCAATGGTGTATTCACACCCGTGAGCCATGATCTTAAAGCGCTTCTTGCAAACTCCAAAGATACGCTCAATAACGTTACGTGCGCTAGCATGTCGAAGATTGAAGAGTTCTTCCTTATTCATCGGTCTAATATGGAAGGATAGGAGTGGTGAGAAGAAGAAAGACAGAGAAAAGTATGAAAATGATGGAAGAAGAATCAATCTCACTTGAAACCTTTCTGTTCCCACTCTCGTAAATGATAACGGACTTTTCAAAAAGGAACAATACAATCTTCAGTGAGAGCAAAGCCAGCATCACCGAGATAATATTTTCCGGCGGGGATAGTAAGATCACGACTTCGAGCCAAAGTCCAAAGAGCACCGTCGGCCATACTTCCTTCAGCTCCGACCAATAAATAAATAAACTCCATGTTGAAATTACAGGCAGCAAGGACGTTCTGAGATGTGTAGCCTTTACGATTAGAGAAAGGAATGAATTCGGAAGCTGGCGGAGTGACCGGAATGTGAGTACCGTCAATTGCACCGATGCAGTCTTTGAAATAAGGCATGAACTTCGGATTCTCGGAAAAGGTATCCGCAAGAGGAGTGTTGGCATTGGGAAGAGGAATATATTTGCTGAGTAAATCTCCGTCATTGGAAATTCCTTTAATAAGGTGATTGATTGTCCTAGCCGAAAGAGATAGTGATGAGAAAATAAATTCAAAAAGAAGCAAAAAAAAGTGAAAAATGAAAGACAGATGAATTACTTAGAAATGGTATCAGCCAATCTTTGAAAACGATTTTGAAGTTTACGATTAGAAAGGCCGGTGATGACAGTATAGATAAGTATCGCCAACTTCTCAGTTCCGGTGATCCAACGGGAGTCAAATAAAATTCCAGTTTCTTCAAGTACTGAACGTAGTTCGAAAAAAACGTGTTTGTTCATTCCAAGATTATCATAGAAAACCGAGTTGTTTGGACTAGCAATGAGCTCATCAATCCAAGCCTGACCGCTGAGGATGGAAGTAAGACGCGGAGTTTTGGTGAGATGAGGCAGGATTTGAGCTGCACAAGCCTGTACACCAGTGCTAAAGTAACAAAATACTTGAAACTGTTGATGTTGAACAGCAAGGAGCTGTTTGAGAAATTGCAATTTAAGCAACTTTTGCTCTTTGGCGCGCTTTTCAGGTGTGAGAGACTGAAGTGAAGAGCGGGAACGATGCTCCATGATGTTTCAAATGAAGTGATTCACGATGATTTTGGTCAACAAACGATGAATTTGGTCTTTGATGACCGTGATGGATGGATGGATGGATGATGGGAAAACGAAAACAAAAACGGACCGATTGATTTTCAAGTTTCAATCGGTCAAGTTTTGATCGAAAAACACTTTCATTTCTTCGTTACCGAACAGTTGACGTTGATCAAATGGTCAACGACGATCTTTTTGATCTTTCGTTGACCTTATTGGTCAACTGTTCGGTAACCGGAAAAGCCGAAAAACGAAATCTCTATCTGCCCCTTGAAACAGGGGCAGATTGAAATTTCG